CAATATCGCTGGAAAACATACGCGAGCGCGGCTAGCGCTAACAATCAATTACTTTAGGTCTGTTACATCCTCTCTCCCTCGCCGCCGCCACCGCCGAGCTGCGTATACCAGTGCCGTTGGCGATAAACCGTAACGATCGCGCGCAAAAGCGCCTATACGTATCCTACACCCTCTACACCCGCTGTAACAATGTAACCTATCGTTTTTGTATAATTTCAAAGAAAATCCGATTAACTCGGCGGATTTTCAATATTTTTTGCGTAATATCTTTTAAGCGTGGATACATTTTTTTAGTTTTTTTTCTGCTCGTATTCGATGAACTGCAATTTTGTTGCATGAATTCCGTGTAGCGCGCAATATTTATCCATCGTTGTCTTATGATACGAAATATTCAGCATATAATCGAACATTTTCAAAACAACCAACTCATGCCAAGCTCATTAATTCGGACAGCCGTGCAACACGCATGAATACGCACTGTACATTTTTACCACCTACGTATGAGTTTATATCTTCAAATTAACATTCTTGCTATTACTATAAGCCGCGAACGAACATAGCCTCTGGAATCTCGGCTAAACTGCAACGAGCGCTTCTGCTCGGGCATAATTAATTTCAAATATTTCACGGAGAAATTTATTTCATCATTAGCGCGCGAAAATCGCGAAGCGCACTTGCACGGCAAAGACGGCGCAAGAAGAGTAATAATACGACTGCCGAAAGCAGCCACGCGCGCTCCTATGCAAATAGAAATGTAATCTAGCACCGTATCTCGCGAGCACTACAGCCCGTGCCAAGCTCGGCACAGTACACATATATACATGAATGCACAAATATAACCAATAACGTCAATCAAACACATATGGGAGGACAATCGGCGTCTACGGAAATATACATGTATATGCGTTTGAGCATTCTAGCCGACGGCGAAATATATATGGTAGTATATGTAAATTTTGTCATATGTATCCGATATCTGCATATGGATTATGTATGCGCCTGCTGCAATGACACGAGGCTTGCGACTCGATGTATTATACACGCGTACGAACGTTGCCATATTAATGCACTCGTTCTTTTTTTTTCCTGTTTTTTCGATCCACTCAACGATGTCTTTTTGGCGCTCCTTTGAAAGTCCAATACGCGCATCCACAGGTGCATCGAGTTGTAACCGAGCGATTTATGCGAAAAGTTGCCTGCAGCGACACGTCTGAGCGTCGAATTTTTCCTACCCATTGGAACAAACGCGCGCTGCACTGTACGAGCTCGTCCTCCTCCCTGTGATCTCTTGGCATGCCCTTCGGATGCGTTAGCTTTGGCGCGCGAGCTTTTTTTCTCTGCCAATGCACGTGTCCAGCGATTCGTGCGTAACGACCACTCCCGAGCTTTGACAGAGGGCTTACATTGCGTAAATTAATTAAGCGATTTAAGCAAAGACCTTGTACTTTGCTTTTGCACTTTTTGCAATACTTGCCAGTCAAATATCAATATTACATTTTTTCTCGAATCAATACAATTCATTATCAATTCTTAGACTTATGAAATTGTCGAAAGTCGTTTGAATCGAATTGATAGAAAAGCCCTTATAGGTTTATTGGAAGGCTCGAACCGCAAGCTAATAATCCAAAAGTAACGCATCAGTCATCGTGATCATCATATTTCGTGCTAATGACCAATAAGAATCCCCTTTATGACCTAATGTATCTCAATATGCAGCAGCACTCGCGCTGCAATTATGCAGCTGACACAAGGCCTAAGCGAGCGGAGCTTAAAATCGAGCGCTTTGACCGATAGCTTGCAAGCTTGCGGATTTAGAGGAAAATTAATGCACCCGTATGGCTCAGCCGCATGTAATAAGCTCTCACTCGCACTGTGTAAGCCAGCGTGTGCGACACAGAAAGGTGAGTACCTTGCAGGCCTGAAAACAACCTGCGATGTTTTGTGCACTTGACGCTTCGATAACGATATAAGATGTTGACACAAATCGCTACTACGGCAAGTAGCTGCGTGTAATCAGATAGATTAACATGAATAGATAGATATATATGTATGACAGTCTGCCGGTCTCTCTTTCTCTCTCACTTTCTAAACATCTACATGTACAGGTGTACAAAGCGCATACGCGTAAACATGCTAACACGCCTTGTGGTTCTGGTGCGCTGTCGAATTAGACAGTGCAGCTGATTGGTTTGTGGTTACATCCCTCAGTAATGAGTTGCCCAGATGGCACGTCTCAGGAAAGCCATTAGGGCTCTCTCTCTCTCACTCTGAAGCAGTCCTAAACGCCCTGTAACTGGAAAGGCGCGCAAGCGTCACAGGTGCAGCAGGGATATCTACCTAAGCTCCCCCGCAAGGTCTTCCTCCCTAGTACTGGACCAAGTTCCCATTTGCACCACGCCAGCCAAGATTGTCCTCGCGATCGAATTTCCATTCAAACTGTTATCGAAGAGTTACGTGAGAGGAAGACGGATAGCAGGTGTTGGCACTAGTTTAAACTTCCGATGACAGAAGGGTGAAGCATTCACGAATGGTCAGTCAAAGCAATTTCAACTATAGATAGAGAAGGTTTTTTTTTAATTATATCAAATTATTTCATTGGTATGTTGAAACTACTTAAGATTTAATTCAACACATTTCTGTTTATTATATTAAAATAAAATATACGTGCGTTATCAAAATTATTTCAAAAACATTTTTATGGAATTTTTTGAAAAATTAATCCAACAGAACGTATTATGAAAATAAAATCAAAGTACAAATAATAACAATTTCAATTATTACAATACTTTATTTGGTTGCTGGACGATTTTGAAATAGTAAATAAAAATTGTAGGAAGTATGGGAAAGGTTATAATCATTAAATAAAAACGTTTCTATATTTATAGATTGTTCACATTTATTTAATAAAAAATCAAGTACAATAATAAAACGATGGTATTAACCACCGGCGTAATTATCGACAATGTAACGTTTACAATATTATAACTATATAAAAGTGAAAAAATCTGTACAATGAAAGACATGCGGGTAGCGGAGAGATGCCACCTGCCCGTGCATACACATTTAAGCATATCGCTCTATTTCCTTACACTTTATAAATTGCTCTTCATCTTATTAAACCATCGAAAATTTACAAAATGGCATGATTTTCATAAACAACTTTTTTCTTTTCCAGTTTTCATTCGGACAATAAATTTAATTTTGAATCGCAATATGCAGGTGTGGACAGTAGAGGCAAAATAAAGTTACACGTATTTTGAAATGTGCAATACCAAAAGAGTACGGAATACTTTCACGAGGACGAAAAACAATATTAAGATCAGAGTCGTACGAGGATTAATTATACTCCATAAATAATCATCTGCAGAGAGTGAGTTCTAATTTTAAACGTGTTATAGCAAGTAATTATAAGATTAAGAGAAAAATAATATTAATATTACAAATATCGCATTAATTACGACACTGTAAAACTCATATAGTCTGATAAAATTAATAACATGATAATATTATGTTTATAAAATAAAATAAATGTAGTAATAATAACGTAAGATCTTTAAGTGACTTAACTAACACAGCATCATTATGTTCGGTTTCTGTACCTCGACAACTTCGCTCCGTGTACTTCGTAAAAATATCGTTTGATAATTCGGAACGGATGAGCGACTAAAATTTTTTCGATTTTTTTCTAACCAAAATCATTTGTGTAAAACTGAACATCTTTATCAGAGTAATATTTTTTTAATTACTTGGAGTATTGAAAAATCTGCCAGATATTACTACTGTTACTATGCATCACATAATTTCGTGATATCGGTTTTTTCTTAGGTATTGTAAACTATTGGATTTTGCCAAATTCTTCAAGCAAGTAAGAAAAAGCTTTCTTCTACATCATTCTTTAACTCTTTATTTGGTCGTATCTTTGGATTGGTCATCTGGACAGAAAGTTATCTAAGAAAAATATTTATCAAACGCAAAAAAGTGATTGTTTATTTTCTTTCAAATTCATATGTCTTCAGCCAAACAAGAAAAAGTTATTAGCGTCCAGACTTTATCACAAGGTATCTAGTAAGATTTTCTAACTACTTGAAGGGTATTGGCAAATCAGTTACTTTCACTCTATTAAAAATTTCAGATGTCTTTACGTATTTAATTGAAATTAAAAAGAATCGTCAAAAAAATAGTCAGATAAAAGGATCGAAGTATGGAGTATATCGAGTACACGTAAACTAACGTTGGCACGGCTTTTTAGAATGAACAATCGATCGCGAACCTCTCGTAACACATTTTCATTTCCTATGGCAAACTTTAGGCAGTCTAATCAAATCAAATTTTTATTTGTACTTGATAACTCGGAGGTGATTGTGTCAGTGCTTTTGTAAATAGTAAAACATATCATTACCATTTTCCCGTTCGTTGTTTTTTTTCATTTTAAAGTATTAATCAAGTATGACAAATGAAAGTCAGTCACAAGGAAAAATTGAAAAAGCAATATTTTGAATACTGTCATGATTAAATGGATAATACTATGGATGATGGATTGAAAATATGATTTCAGACATTTTTTTGAAATTTGATTCGAAATATACATTAAAAAACTGAATCACATCTTGCGTAACTTTCCAAACTTTATATTTTTCTACATACGCTCTGCGTATCGTTATTTCCATAGAATTTTGTTCAAAATACAAAATATACGCCTTCGACGCGATTCAGCAGTTGAAAAATATTACTAAAATTAAAAGGAGGAAGTGTATCAAAATCAATTTCAACTTTGTATAATGAAATTTCGTGAATATTACTTTAGAGACTAGCTATTACTTTATATACAACGAGGTAAGAAAACGACAATGGAATATGTCAATGAGTCTCAGATCGTTAGCGTTAGTATTTTTTAGTTATTTCTTTCATAAAAATCACGAAATGCAATCGATAAAGAACAATGTCAGCATCAATTAAAATAAAATAATTATATTTATCTTCAATAATATTATCAATATAGTAAATATATAATAATAATTAGTATAATAATAAAGACAATATAAAACTGACAATAAATAAACTAACTGTACATAACGCATTGTCGTCGAAGGACACGCTTCAATTGAGGTGGGTCGATAAGAGCCGGTGTCTTTCATGCACGTGATTTCTCTGTTTCGCATTACCCTAAACCTGTACAATTCGCAGAGATAGCGAAAGAGAAAAACAATTCATCACATTTGTAAAAAAGTTAAAAATTAAGTCTGATTAAAAACAAATCTTATCATTAGTAGTGAACGAAAGACACCGGAAAAATGCAAACTCGCCCTGCAATCGATGCCTTTGAGAGATCATTCGAAAGTTCATTTATAAAGTACGTTTAAGACTAAAAATTAAAGGGTACAAAATACACATAACAGAGTGAATCGTTAATGAAACTTGCAAATAAAATGTCACTTCGTTACAAATAAATTAAAAAATGGTTCAAGTTTAAATTTCGAAAACAATAATCAATCGAATTATTGCGCTGGTAAAATTTTAAAATAACTCGATGCTAAATTTAGTAATTGACGAAGGAACGTTACATGTCCATTACGATAATTTTCATTATTATAATAATATATCTATTAATAATTACGAGATCACAGTGACGCTTTGACGCGCGGGGATCTGAAGGTGAACGAACTGTATAAACTTGAAATTTTCTTCGTCAAATTGTAAAAAAAATGAATAGAGTCAGATTTTTGTAAGAAGTTACAGCCCATTCCCTACGATCCGCATTGTCACAGTTACAGCTTATAATTTTTCTCCCAATTCTCTAAAACATTGTCTTATCTACAGAGCATTGTTCATTTTTTGTATCTATAAAAATTTTGAGGCTCAGTAATTTTTGAAAAAATGTTCATCCACTGACATGATTGAAATCAACGACGTCCTGAAGATAAGATTTGTAAAAAACGACCGCTGATTTTTGTGCAGCTCATTTTTATGTTACTTTGTACTCGCTCGATCAAATCAACGTCTACAAAGTCGGATACACGATTCAACAATTCGTGATCCCAAAACTTTCTGTTATTCTGCTCATTCCAAAAAACAATCATCGCGTTGTTTATCATCAAATATATCATTTAAAATATATTTATGCAATATATACTTTTGTTTATGCTTACATGTACATAGACTTTATCGAGGTTTATTTATAGATTATTATTTATGTTTTCATATGGCTGACTATACTAACTACAAAATGCTTCTACTGGTTTACTGTTCTAAGGTTTTGCATTTGTAAATGCGATAAAAACATGTATAATATATAAGAAATAATTAAACATATAAATGCTCAAAAAAAGAAAAATATATAATAAAAACAAATCACGAAGATAACCATAAACAAAAATGCAATGGTACCTTAAAGTAAAATAAAAAAGAAGCAATTCTATTTACAAGCACGCACTTTTGCCTCTACTTCACTTTTTTCTTTATAAATATCAGGCTTTAAATATCGACGTAATCGAAATAAATATATCCATTTCATTTAATTTCATTTTTCACGGTACCTCAGTGGAAACGAAATTTATCGTGAATAAAGCGATACTTAGAAAAGCAATCCATTTCATTAATTTTCTCATTTACAAAAGCAAAATTTGAACTGCAAAAAAATCTGTATGACATACGGCAATGGATAAAAAGCGATAGTGTATAGTTGAAATCAATACGTAATATATTTCTACGTGTAAAAGTGAATTATATTATAGTTATTTAGTCATTTAGGCATTTAAAATACATATAAGTTTGGTTTATTATTGATGGCTTATTTTATTAAAAAGAAAAGAATTCTCAATTGAATGAAAAATTCATTAGCTAAAAAACCGCTTAAAATTTAGAAGCAACCGAAGACGTTGAATGGGCGATTTGGAAAAGTACGCGAACAAGACGGTCTTATAGAGCAAAAAATAAAAGAAGGGAATGTAGCGAAGACTCAGCAAAAAGAGGAAAATAGTGCAAGAAATAAAAAAAGAGTAAGAGAATAAAAAAAAATCAAGAAAAAATAGAGATTAGAAAGCATTTGGGGAAATTAAAGACATCCTCTCGTCAGTCGTGAAAATCCTGCTTTAAGTAAAACTTTCAACGCTGGATAGACGAAAGGTGTCACTAAGAGCTATAAGCTACCAGGAGATCATTTGAAAACTGTCCACGGGTGTAGCAGCTAGCCAATTCAGATGCCGCACACCTCGATCTATAATATCAATTATCTACTTTAATTAATTAATTCGACTTATTACTGGATTCGCGTGTGCATTAATATTATTCAATTGTGTATTTTATATTTTTTCACGTGTTTTTTTGAGCAGTGTTCAAATTGTCTCGCGTTCGGTAATTAATTATTTCAATGTTATTAAATAAAATACGATTGATGCGTGTGTTGCGCGTTTGTTGCCCCTTTCAACACGCACGTCGCGGTTTATTGAATACGAGAAAGAAAAAGCTCTATCACACCTTCAGATTATTTCTATTCGCACACGAACGACATCCGGTCTATGTCACGTGGTGTGTTCACTTTTTTTCATGAATTTTTTTGCCATACAAAAGTCCGCTCATTTTTGTGTATATATTTATATACTTATACATTTATGTACAAAATATCGATCGACGCGTTTATACGTGCCAACGACCGCTGGACGGTCGTCGTTATTACTTTTCTTGATTCGTTAAATTTCTTCGTTTTTTTGCTTTCTCTCTGTCTTTCTCTATTTCTCTTCAACGCGTACACTCTAAGCATCGCTATACAAACTATAACATTAAAAATAATTACAATTGCCTAAATAAAAAAGTTTTTTCGTCAACCATGGTCACTTACATAAGTAATAGTATATTTTATAAATATATCATTATATATATAATATACATATATTATATTATCCTTTTAAAAATCACAATTCGCTTACTTTATTTTTTAATATTCACACTTTAACATTCGTCCGTGATATGACGCGAGCCGCTGGCACGTATCAAGGCAGGTGTCTCTCGATATAATCGATAATCAGCGTGGTTAGAAAAATCATCGTCAATCACGAATCTAATTTTAAAAAAGTGAGCCACTTTTATACACAATTATCATGTTGCCTGCTCTATCATTTCGCAATCATCACACTATATAATTTTTTATTTTATTCTCTTTGTTTTGTTTTCATATTTATTCCATAATGAGATCATTATTTGATTATTATTGGATCTAAGTCTTCTCTTTGGATCTTATGTCACCCCTGCAGTTCTATTATTTTTCTCTATTTATCTCTCCATGCCTATCCGCATTTTATCGTGTCTTTCAGCATGTTTAAATATGTATTATCATATAATAATTCATAAAAAAAGAAGAGAATATACCCTCCCACGTCCTTTACCCTCCTTATACATTATTGTGCTTCGCATCGCAACTCCTTCGAACTCGCGCGGGAGAAAAACATCGCATTTTTTGTCTTGACGTTGCTTGGAATTTACGCAACATATACATATATTCACGTAAGATGGCACTCAGAAGTGGCCAAAAAGTCGAGGCTTGCAATTCTTCATCCTCGCGCTGCGCTCAAACAATTTTTATCTTTATTCGATTTCTTTTTCACGTTTAACGAACACAGTACTTTCATTTTTTTTTTCTAAATCATTTACAAAAATCGTCTTTTTGAAGAATAAACCGCTTCTCCCCAAGTAAATATCACAATGTCTTGATCCATACTAGGTTAGATCAAGCGTGGTCGGGGATCAGCAGCACTCGGTATTTTCAGCGCAAGTGACTATATGAAATGAAGCCAGCGGAGGAGGATACATTGTTAAACTCGACTTTCCGGAGGGCCATTCCGTCGTTTTGTCTCTTGGACACTCTTCATGCTTGCAGCACTCCAAAAGTATCGATGCCTCACGACGGCTCACCACAAAGGTAACGGTATCATCGTATCGAGTACCATCGGCATCAGTTTTTCAAGTTGAAAATATATATATTATATATATGTTTGTATGTATACATATACTCGTTACAGCTGCTATTGGCTGCTGTTGTAGCAGACGTCAAGCGCGTCCTATCGCAGACGCGATACAAGCCGCCAGCCAAGATATAGAGCTAACGTCGTCCATAGGGTCTCTCGAAGTGGTGCTGGGATCAAAAGTGACATGAGGCTGTCCGTAGATCCGGATGTACTGCCACTTAGATTGTTGCTATTGAGGCTGCTTGACGATCCAAAGCTCGACCCGATAAAGGATAGCCTTGATTTTTCTACCTCTGCGTCCTGTAACAAATGAGAAAAGCAAAAGTTTGTTATTAGTTATTCTAGCATAAAATAGCGAGCTAATTATGGCTATTAAAGAAACTCCACTCTCTATCTCAAAATCACGATGCAAAAGAAGACAAATCAGCAAAGGATAAGAATCTCCTCGGAGTGCTCTCGTTCAACATCGCTGAGTAGATGGGAGCAGATGTTTCGCGCTTATCACTCTTGAATTTCGCGCGAAGCCGAGGAGAAGAGAGAACGATCGCAAAATCGCAAGAAACAAAGGCTTTTCGAGCGCTCCTGCCCAATTAGGACGAAAGCTCTCCAGGCCTTGTCGAAGGTATTTTTCTCGAGCTGCGCGAGCAGAGTATGATGGTACTTTAGTGTTTACGAATAACGATGAGTCAGATGTTTTTCTGGGCGTCGAGTGTCTCGCCAGCGGTATCGCGCACGTTTTTCTTACTTCTCTTTTTTTCACTCCTCGTGAAGTGAGAGAACCAACAACGGCGATATTTTAATTGTGCGCGCTCTTATCTTTCCAGGATTATTTTACTCGGAACAATGATGAAATAAAAATAATTTTAACCCAAGTCACTAAGAGACTGCTCCAGGAGGGCCCCTAATCGCAAATCATTTTTATCGCCCGAGTCAGTGCAAAGAGTCAGCAACAATAATTTGACTTCCGATAATATTCGCTTGCATTCGAGTTACGGCGAGAATTGGGGAGGGTGTGGCAGTGCTGATAATAAAGCTCCCTAGCGTATTCGCATGCTGTAAGAGCTTTTATAGCTCCATGCTCCATACAAGTCATCCCGATGATATGCGTGCGGTCATTTTCGTGTTTTGGCCGAATTCGTCACATTAAAGGAGAATTATAAGGACAAGATCGAGCCTCCTTTGTGCGTATGCGCCATAAGCTGCCTATATTTCATAGACTCCTTCGCAATTAATATCAAAGTTTTTCTATCAGTGAGATATAGCGCTTTAGGTATTGTATAGCAGCGTGTGTCATCTTTTGCGCTTTTGGAGAATTCAATATCGCGCGAGAGAAAGAAAACAAGACGAACTAAAAGATATTCGTCTCGAGATGTAAATGATTTTCTTTTCGAAATCCAATTGTAAATGTCTTATAAACATATAAACATATAAACACGATCGAGCGAGTGACTTGATTTATCAAACTGAATAACGAGTATAAACGAAGTCATTGAAACGCAAAATGCGCTACATGCGTACGCGTGCGTAAGCGCATGCAAAAGAGACATTTTTTCCTATTACTCAAAAGGACGTTGCGAAAAAGTTATTTAGCGGCGAAGACGTCGTAGTCGCAGCGATCGTCGGTTCTTATGAGCACTCGACCCAATATTTGTGCGCATATGTCTAATATTAATGAAATGAAATCAAGTTTGCTGATAATCTCTCTCGAGCAAGCGAGCCTACATTAATAATATTAACAGCTATGGCTTCGTGTTAATGCGCGTACTCGTATACAAGCTCGCGCGAGTTTCTGTCATAACGATTTTTCCAGTACCAACGCACCTATACACAAGAGCACACACTTGCACGTATTTATTCTATCGTGAGTATATATTTTATATATTCTCTTCTTACGAAAGCTGTGCTCTATAGGCATCAGAAGGCTCGGTACGCCCAATGGCGAGCAGCGCAGCGCTTGTCTATAGAAGCGTATTATAGCATAAGCGATAAGTACGTTTTCTGTCTCTCTTATACGCGGCGCGACTAAGGATCAGCACCTCGGGACTCGTTTATGGAATACACATAGAAACTCGCTGCGCGCTTATGGCTACATATATTGAAAATAGTTGCACAAGCTTGTATACACACACACACACACATGTAATATGCATTCGATCGCGGCGAGATCGTAATTGCTCGCTGGCAACGTTCGAAGGAGATAAGCGCGCGAGTAAATACGGAGTCGACGCGACGAGCCCGTGGCTAAGGGTGCCACGATTTGCCGCCGCCAATCTCTCTCGATTGTCCGTTGACCGTTTCATTGTACAGCGATACACGCGGCGTGTGTGCGAGAGCTAGTCTCGTATAGCTTATAGACCTGCAGCCGAGAGACGCTGCTTCGCACACACGCGATGAAAATCACACTTGCGCAAAGCGAGCCACGATATGCACACCTCGCCTCGGTCTGCGCACCGAAGAAACTATTAGCCTCGAGTGACTTCCCTTTCTTAGAACATCTCGCTCGCTCGCTCGTGCGTGTGTGCTCGCACTCTTATTGAGACTTTTCCATACTTGTACGCAGCAAACAATGAAAAGAGAGAAAAAACCGAGAGAGAGAGGCGCGTGCCATTGATTTATTGGTAATTTGTAGAGGTGCTTGCGGTTGCGAGATTATCTTTTAAAAATGATGAAATCTACCGAGTCGATTAATAATTTTTTATTTATTAGTCAGCACACATCTGCATCGTCTGTCACGCGCTGCAAAGTTCATTTAATTAAATTGTTTCTTTGCAATTTATAAGCGTATAGGTTAAATATGGGAGAGCACTACCTGAGATTATACGAAACGATTATATAGTAGGCAAGAAAGCCTGAGATTTTAGCGTCGCGCGCGCGACTTTTTATCGCGCTGCGTTAAAAGCCGATTGCCGATATGTGACGCAAGTGTGAACGTTACGTGCGCGCTAATGCCCGCACCAATACAGTCGAGGATTATCACGGCGAGATACCATTTTCTCATTTGACTTTGCTTGAGTGAGAAAAACTTGACTGTAGCTGCTGCTGCAATTTCTAAACTTCGCACCTTGTTTATTCAAGAAGCCCATATCTGCGTTAATTATACGAGACTTTTGTCTCCCTCTCGAGGCAGCAACATATATACGCATTCTCTCATTTTGACGAAGATTGAATATTTATTTTGCCATCGTCGCTTCGCGCGTTTCAGTCAACTGCGCGCGCGCGCTGCCTGATGTATGAAAAAAGCCACGTGATAAACAGCATCCTTAAAAAACGGCCAAGACAAATAAGCTCGGGCGGGAGTTTCGTTTTTTTCGCTTTCGTACTCCCGCGCCGCAACGTCGATATACGTGTGTGTGCGCAAGCGAGCCGTCGTATTACGCTCGACTTTTAACGTATAAATCTACTCTTTCGGCGATGCGAGGCGCTGGCTTTTCTTTCCCTGCGTAGCTCTCTTGTGCCACTTTTAGCCGTATTATAACCAGCGCAGCTAGTTAGCTGCCTTTCTGTTTTCCATCCTACGTATGCTCGACGTTCTTTTTCGGTATGTATTTAAGGAGGGTTGCGAGATGCGCGACGAAAATATACACGCGCACGAGGCTCTAATTTCGCGCGTGCCAGCCCGAGAGCTGAGAGCGTCTCAATCTTCTGTTTGACTTTTTCGCGCCATACGCGTTGCGTGTGAAAACAAACTTTCGTCAATGTAATCCGTAATATTCCGCTTGATCGACAAAGTCACATGCTGCACTTTTGAGATTTCTCTAAATATCAAATGCTTTTGATAAAATAGTCTGGCTACGTGATGTTATAACCGCACGCGCACGAGCTCCAACGATCCTTTACTCGCATGTCCTTGTTGTTGCTTTCATTGATCTTTTGAAAGCTTTGCTACTCAAAATTATCACAAGTATAAAAGATCAAGATACAAAAATTTTGCGAGATGTATGATTGCCTGTAATATGCGTCCTGCACTCGATTGGGCAAATACACAAGCACGGCTAGATATATTATCGATGTTTATACCGAGGTCTAACGCGATTCGTGTGAGCGAGATTGTTTCGGAGAAATGAGAGGCTAGTTTTGAGTAAAATGTATGATCGAAGAAATTCGGAATTGTGTTTCCAAGAAATTTACGATCAATAATCAAAATCGAAGCCGAGTTGGTTCGCTTATTAGATCGTGACATTTTCATACACGCATTTCTCGTCGGCTGCTGGGTTTTTGGCTATTATCGGAATAATATCTACAATAGCGTTCGCGCAATCTAGAGCATTTTTAGTGCAATCGACAGTTTATTATCAATGACAGAGAGTGAGAGTTGGTTTTCATGGAAATTCAATCCTTCGTTCCGCGGAGAAATGCGTGCAGCGACTGCCCACATTTTCTAGCTCGAGCCTTTACAGAACTAGATAGATATTATTTGTTGGCATAACGCAAGCGAAACATAGTTCAGTGATAATACTACTTAATAATATTTTCAGCTTTTAACGATAATCATTACCGTGGCAAGAAAAAAGAGCGTTTCCCTTTCGCATCTGTTGGGCTTTTTTTCTTCAATTTCCGATGTTATGACCGCGTGCGGTAGCAGCTAAGAGTTTGCCGTCTCGCGGAAATCGATAACGAATCGTAAAACCTTTCTCCGTCTCGTTCGCCGAGAGAAAACAACTTATTCTTCGGGCGCACGCGACGTAGGAAGAGGCGAGCGGTTTATACACCTGCTGCGCGCGTACTCCATCACGCGACGATTCTCAAAACAAATGCTCCGGCGCGCGGCGAAAAAAGTCAAACGAATACAATTAGGATAACAAGCCTGGCTTCTCTCTCTCTCTCTTCTTTTCTGCTTCTCTCGATGCAGTGGAACTAGTGTATATTCATCTTAATAAGTACACGGCGATCGACTTTTTTTACGATCGGCCGCGCACAGTCGAACGCAAATATCAAGAGTCGCACGGAGGAGAGCTCGTAAAAAACGAGGAGGATGTGTGCGCGACTTTTTACGAGTGAAATTGCGGGTGGAGCTCGGTCGAGAGCGGCAGAGTCGTGACACGAACAACTTATTAGTGTCGATTTAGAAAAAATGTCTCGGGGGCTAACTTTCTTGATTCGGCTCGACGAGAGTTCGTACTTTGTCGGAACAAAGACACGAAGCGAAAGTTATATGGAGAACAAATCGTCGTTAAGAGGGAGTTTTGCTCTCGTTTTTCCGCGCTTCGCATAGATCGGGGCTATTTGTTCATTAGCGATGTTGCGCGCTTATATATATTCAGCGTTCCATATTTTATGGTAGCCACGGCCAGACACAGCCGAGCAAGTTCAAGACCCAGAGAAACACTTGCCGCTGCCGGATCGGCGCCTCGAGGGCGGCACTCTCTCCTACAACAGCTGATGCACTCGCTCGTACGCATACATACAAAGCGTAGAGCAGCAAAAGCAGCCAAGAGGAGTTACACGGGCTATCGGCCGGTCCGCTCGCTACTGCTGTACCACTGGCTGCTGCTCATCGCCTCCCCGGGGTATCATAAATATACCATATATCTTTGCAGACGTATACGCGCGCTATATATTCCCAGTGCGGCTACCGCAGCCGCAGCGTATATACGCGTATATGTATATACGAGGCAGAAGGAGAGAGGAGAGAGAGAGAATCGCCCGAAGGTGCTGTTGGCGCAAGGAAATACACGAGCAAAGACCAACTCTCTCGATATATTGGAGCGTGCAACAGCAACAGCGTCTTTTGCGCTCGCTGCATCTCCTCCGGGCCTTTCTCCGTTTCACGCATGATTACTCAAGTTTGTTATCTTACGCTGTATATCAGGGGCGGATCCAGAACCAAAGTTTAGGGGGGGCGATCATAAAAAATTTTTTTTTATAAGTTACAAACGTAACACCAAAATTAATCATTAAGATAATTACCAATAGTAACCAAATCAACCCAGTTAAAAATATTTAAAAAAAAAATATTTTTAAAAAAAAATTAAGTATGCAAACCCAAGTAACCTCAAGTAACCAAATAGATCCAGTTTGTGTAGTTTTAATAATTAAATATTCAAACCCAAGTAACCCTGTGTAACCCGAGTATCCAAATCGATCCAGCTAGAACAGCTTTAATGATCAAATGTGTAACTAAAATGAACCCAAGTAACTAAATTGATCAAGCTCGTACAATTTTTGAATAATTAAATAAATGCAAACGCAAGTAATCCCAAAAAATCAAATCAACCCAGCTCGTGCTGTTTATTTATACGTAAATCCGCAGAACTTCTTCAAATAATTTAGGGTCAAAATTCGAGAATGAATGCTCACCTCTGAAATTTTCTCATTTTTTAAAAATACTTTACAAGAAATAAAAAGCATCCACAGTAATTCAATTTTCACGAACGCTTTGCATGATCTAGTGATAATTATGGTTTCTACTTACTATATAGTAGAGAGGATGTGGTTAGATTGCTCCTCAAAATGTCCACCTGCTCCTCCACAATTTTCAAAAATGTGAATTTCACGTGATTTTTGCATGATTTTCGCATATTTTTCACCTTTTTTTAATTATCATTTCCTAACTGCTCCTCAAAAATTCCACTGATCCTTCACTGCTCCTCCACCGTAAATCCACCGGGATACGTGATAGGTACACTAGACCTACTTTAATTCTGTCCGGAGGAATGTGGATTTTTGTATGCTTATACACGTTCCAATTCCTATTCCACCCGAAAAATTGGACAGAATTAAAGTAGGTCTAGTGTACTTTTATATTAGTACAAAGGTACTTTTATACATAGGTACTTTTATAATACACAACAAAATATTTCATCGAAATTTTGTCAATTTTCAAATTTTTCTATCTTGGGCTATATCTATCGTATCGACACGAAAGGTACCGCAAAATGTTCAGAAAATGGTGTTGATTTCAGCTAAACGAGGGATTTACGTACTATAAATGGTACCTTCAAATTGACCTACAGGGCGCAAAATCATCGTAAAGAGCTCTATTTTTTTTTTTTAAATTACTCGTTGAAAAGAGTACTTTGCGATGGTGTATGTTACATTTGAACAAAATATTACTGTGGTACTGGTACACGTTCAAAAAATCTTTTTTTTTTCAGTAATTTTACGTGTTGCGCTAAAATACTACTAGTAACTCGATATTGACTCGAACCTTATCATAGTATATATGGATTTAAAGAGGACAAGATAATTTCCAAGGAATCAAAAAAAAAAGTCGTGTCGATACGATTGGTCTGGGAGTGGGCTACCTTCCCGTAGGAAACTATAAGTGGATGGTTGGAATAAGATGTTATCGATAGATTTTGACCCGCTGAGATAAGAACTAATATTTACACGTGTAAATACAAGCGTTAATTTCTAATGTGGTCGATATGCACTTTGAAATTATAATATTTTCAGTTCATTCACGCATAAAATTAAATAAAAAGAGTACTTAGCATATTGGCAGAGAAATATGCATAACCGTCAGTGGTTCGTAAAATGTTCTTAATAACGAAAGGGATAAAATATTCCGAGACAGTTTCTGAACCGAAACCTCTGCACAAATTACAGCAATAAAGCCTCATAATTTTAAAAAAGCTTAAATGGCGGTATCACGACTAAAACTATTGCGAGTTGTGTGATGTGCACAGTGTGCACTGTATCTTAGGAAAAAGTATATTATCAATGATCAAGTTGAATTTTGACTCTCAAAAAGAGTCAAAGTTCCACTGCATGAATGGGTAATATCGATTAAAATGCAGGCAATATTATGGTATTACAAAGCTGCCAGTTAAACTCCCAATCGGTTAAAAACCCAAAAGTTTAAAGGATTTTGGAGAATCGTGATATTTTTTTGCAGTTTTCACTATTCAAAAGCACGTCGAGCGCAAATTATACTTTTTGAAAACTGTTGTCTGGAAGAAGTGCGAGGAGCGCAGTTCATACTTTTTAAACGTGTTTCAAGCGCAGATTACACTTTTTGAAAAAATGGTCACCGCAGAAAATGTGTAAGATGCGCAAGCTACCGGTTTTGGAAATGTGAAATGAGTGCTAAAACAAGCGTAGCCTATGCTTCATACATCTTTTCTGCTATATTGCGTTTTTACACTTTTTTTTCTGTGACGATTTTTCAAAAAGTGTAATTTGCCCTTGAAAAACTTTTGAATCGTGTAAATTGCACGAGTTTTCCACAGAAACTTTTACACTTTTGGGTTTTCATTGTAGATAAACTACAGCATGTAATCATTGCGATCCAGCTATTGAATTTTTTCTAATTTTTTATGATTCCACATTTGAAAATCAAAAAAAATGGCACAAGCTGAGTATATTCGGATACATACTATAGTTTATCTGTTGTCGAAAAATTTTGAAAGTGTCTGGTCACTTCGATTATTTATTCTTGCATGTTGACGAATAAAAAACCACGCGATCTTGAGCAATTTAGTTACTTGGGTTACTTAGGTTTGCATATTTAATTATTATAAAAGACAGGAGTTTGATCGATAGGGTTTCTTAGGTTTCTTACAGTTACTTAGGGTTACTTGGGATTGCATATTTAATTATTTGAAAATTGCTTGAGCTAGGTGGGGTTGACTGCTCATGGTTACATAATCAAAGATAAAAAAAATGCACTGACTGGGTCCTTAGGGGGGGCGATCGCCCCCATCGCCCCCCCTCTGGATCCGCCCCTGCTGTATATACCTACATTATGTATACGCGCCGAGGTATTACGAGAAAGAGAAAATCAATTGACTTTTGCTGTTGCTGTTGCTGCTGCTGCTGCTACTGCTACTGGCCATAACTTGTGTCAAAAGCTTGGACCAGGTGTGCCCGAGGGAAAGCGACCAACTAATCTTTTTGTTATGCGATTTGAATTTTTGCTCGAATATTCGTACACGACGCGATGAAAAGTACCATTGCCTGGCCTTGATAAATTTTTCATCTTTCTCGATTCGAAGCTCTTGTTCTCGTAGTCGTTTTATTTTATTTTTTTCTTCGCCCCCCTATTATACGCGTCTTTATTTTTAACCGTCCAATTCAATTTTGCTCGCACGCGCGCGTTTCTAATTATTACTGCTTAAGTACTAGTGATCGAAGCTTAAAAGACAGCCATGAAATTGAAGAAATCTCTACAGAATCGAAAGGAGGGAGGAAGCAACCCAATCTCGAGTATTCGCTAGGAATGACCCGGCACGTATATTCCTCCTTAATTCTCATTGTACGTTTCGGGCGCGAATTTCATTGTACGCCTGGTCGTGCTCGAGCCGGCGAAAGAACGGGGACTGTAGTTTAATTGATAAGCTCTGGGACACGGTGCGGCTGTTTCTACTTAAATTCTATTATCTCGCGCCTTCCTTTATTCTTTCTGCAGGCTGCGAAGAAACCTAGCGTCGCGTAATTGCACGAGGAAATTTCATTTTCTCGCTGAATTTTGAACGAAACGAGCTGCTAATGCCATCGTCTATCCGACGATGATTGAAAAAAAGAAGCGTAATCTCATAAGCGTTCGCTCACCTTTGCCTTGGATGCGTGAAAGTCGTCGGCGATGTTCCTGAGATTCGCTCCGACGCTCGCCCATTCCCGCTCGTCGAGGCTCGCCGCCAAGTGGTGGCCGCAGCACGAGTTGCCGTGCGTGCAGCAGTCGTGGTGGCGCATCGAGCAGTGGCAGCTCGACTGTTGCTGAAACTTTTCCGGCAGCGATCCCTCGCTGGTGAGTCTCCGTCGGCGCGGCTTGGGTCGTGGACAGGGCACGGGCAGCAGCGACGTCGCCGCCAGAGTCCCGCTGCCGAAGCCGCTGCACTCGGGAAATTGGAAGGCCGCGTCTCGCGTCGGACTGCTGGGCGCCGAGACCGTGACCTGGGGCGCCGCCGAGGGCAGCTGTTCGACCGCCGAGAGCACTAGGTCCGGCAGGGGCAGCCTCGACAGGTCCGAGTCCACCAGAACCATCGCGCTGTCTCGCGAGCTCAGAGTCTGGCTCGATCGTCGAGGTAGCCGATCTGTGGACAGAAAACAGCAACAAAAACACTTTTATTATGTGCAGCCAGAGAAAAAAGCGACAAGTCGCTGCATTGGCCTGACGTCATGTGTTTATAAGTCGCGCTCGGCACGCGCTAATGTAGCGGCGCGCTATACGTACGGCGCGTTTATTAGATCGAGTCGTATTGCCCAATACTTGTGGTGTAATAAAGTAGAAAAATTGCAGCTACATTATCCATAATAGTCGAGAGGCAGCTTACACATTATATACTCGCGCATACGGACAAGCGTTTCTTTATCGTAATAAACATTACAAACTTTTTTTTCTTTTCGCATTAGTCAGATAAAATTATGACACATTGGCGGCGCCTACCCGAGCTCGAGCCGTAGCTGCGCAGTAACTATTGTACGATGATAAAACGGAATAAGTCACACATATATAGAAGACAGAGACAGCACGTATGCAGATGTGCGCTCGTAGCCGATAACCTCGAGCTACGATGATGCCAACACATATTATAAATCTCCCGTTCTTATATCTGTGTATGCACATATAGAAAATGTCGTGGAATAAAAGTGGACGATTAGTGCCTTCTTCGCTGGCTGGTCACCGTTTATGTGTATGATATATTTTATATAGAGGCGCGCGTCTATTCGCAGCGGCAGCTGACCTCTTTTTCTCGCGCTCAACAAATTCCCCATCATTATTATTATTCTAGAACTTGGTATCAACGCCGTACGCTGCACACACGCATTCATATATTTAGCCTCGTGTCGCGATGCACCCACCAACGTTCTATTAATAAACTCGCGATGGATGTGATTCTTCTTTGTCCCTTTCGCCCGTCGTTTTCTATACTTTTTATTTCACGTACGCGTAACTAAACGTTGTACATTTTTAAATGGAATGCCGAAAAAAAAAATATTACTTTTTAACGAGTCCAGCAAAAAGTTCAACAGCAGCGTTCGAATTGGTAACTATGTACGCTGTTGTTGGTCTATGGATTCGTGACTCGAAACGTTAATTGACGAAGCTCGTAAAAAATCCATCGCTCACGCGTATAGCAGCGCAGAGTAACATCAGGCGCGAGTCAATGCTATATTTATTGCTCCAGCGTGGTCCGGCTTAGCGAGTTGATTACGCTTTTATCACTTCCTGGCGCTTCTTTTATCGCACGAACGATTTTCCTAATTTTCAATAAATTATGCATAAGTTGCAATCGCTGGCAAACATCGCCTCGAAAAACACTTTCCTTTCAGCGCTAATAACAGAGCTCGAGTACTTTAAAAAAGCTTTATTACGAGGGTCAGCAGAAATTAATTCAGTTGGCGAAAAAATGAGCTTGGAAGGGGCGAGCCTTGGGCGCGATTTACTTACGAGACGAGTACTTTTTTGCGTGTTGACGTGCAGCGTTGGCGCATACATACTGCATCGGGTGAAGCGCGATTACCACTCGCAGCAGAACGCATAAATCAAAATGTACATCTGAAAGCACCCGCTGTTAATGCGCTTCAATGTCAACCGAGGCGGCGGCGATGTAGTTGGCAATTAGACACTAAATGCGATATGATACATGCGTGGATTTTTCATTGTTCTCTCTTTTTGCTCGAAATAATATTACATTCGTATAGTAGCGTATATACGGCGAACATTTAACGACTTATCATCATCATTAAGGCATCAACGATTCTATTTTTTTTTTGTTTCAAACTCGCTTTTCATACTCTTTTTTCTCATTACACAACGAACGATTATGCTCGAATGCATCGATGATCTACATACAAGGGATACTCGAGTGCTGAAAATGAGTTCTCATGTTATAACGATTCGATTGTCTTTGTCGGAGAATTGAAACGTATCGAAAAATGGGATTTCCTCGCGGGCCGGCTTCGCTCGCTGAACTAATCGTTACGTATTCACACGAAGCTCGCGCGTAAAATTCCTGCGAACGCGCAGCCTCTTGCTTTATACGCTTCAATATTTTACTATGCGAATAATTATAACGAAATTACAGCTAAATCAGAAAAGTCCTTTTGCACACACGCGCGCGCGAACAGTGCACGCACGTACGCATTGTAGGCTGGAGCGCGATAAGTGCGCCAGCGACTAATTTGCCATGCATCCGCGCGCTCCACAAGAAACAAAGAAAATCTAGCGCTGCCACTGTGCCTCGAGGTTATTATAAACTCTACTATTGCCATGCGGGAACAAAGATGAATACTCGGTAGCGAGCGGTGCAGTGCGCCTGCTTGTAGGCTCGTGCGCGCGCCAATAATGCATTGTGCACTGGCTTACGCGAGCGCGTGCACACATGGGTATCGACGATGCATTTACACGTACAACGTTTCTCGATCGATTTATGCTCGCTCGATGTATCGACCGAGCTTTTTGCGTCGAGGATGTGTACCAGAATCGAGAGTTTTTTGCCACCCTGCACATCGATCTCTCCCTCGCTCTCTCTCTTTCTCTGTCCGGCTACGAGTGCAGGTCGAGCTTGGCTTACAAAACTGGCACCTCGCTATTGTTCTGCTTGCGGCGCACGTGTACATACGGACTTGGCTCGAGTCGACCAGGAAGATGCTATCTCTTTGGCCGCTGTAAACTTGTCCTTGAGCAACGGGTGCAGCAGTAGACGTCGTCCCAGCCGTCGATACATCGAACAATCGCGCCACTTACGTGCTTAGTCGTGAACTTCGCGCTCGGATAAGCACGCTCGAAACTTTTCAAGTTCATATCGTATCGAAGGAAGAGAGCAGCGAGCGTCCGAGGAAAAAAAATCCTATAATTATTACGTGTACGTGTAGATCGGCCAGGCGCGTTACCAGCTCATTGTTTCGCGGCGTGAGAAACGATTGATCATCTTCCGTAATGAATTGGAAAAAAAAATTCACCTCGCGTCGCTATGACGTACGAGGAAGAAAAACTGCATGCACGTGGTCTGTCGAGTACCCGCATAGAGCGTGAAAAGCAGCGCGTTATATACGTCCGCCGAGAGGGAAAGCTCGCGGCTCGAGTGCGCACTGACTCATCCTGCCGTACGTACGTGTATGCCCTTTGTAAAATGTGCTCGTGTAAACTGCACAAAAAGCAACTGCCATGTACAACGACGAAATGCACTCGAAGAAAACACGCCGACACCCCCGCTAGGTTTATTTTCATACGTCTAATGTATAACTGGCCCGATCGATGCGATTTTCTAGAAGCACGCGATGCGTAACGCGACATGTCGATTAAACACTTTTACATTGTCGCGCACGTGTGTGTAATATCAGGCACAGATACGTCTTTGAATAACAGCTATTCTTACTTCCGCAATCGTGTATTTCTCGTTCTTTTTTTATTTCATCGTTCTTTGAAAGAAATAGCTGCACGATTATCGCATCGACGTAAAATACACAGCAGCTTTCTGAAAAAAAACCCGGCTAGATCTCGCGATAGGGCACGCACGCAATGGGGTTGACATATCTATTGCAGTTGTCTAACATAAAATTTTGGGAACGATTTGTCGATTTGGTCGAACAAAGCGACTATTACGCGAACGCACGAAATGGTATGGAGCAGCAGCACGTATTACGTTAGTGAGAGTGAAATTGGCGATTCTTATCCAGACAGGAAAATCTGCGGAATACGTATTTTGGTCGCTTTGTCCTCTATTCCAACGAGCTATTAGAATCCGAAAGAGAAAACAGTCCGATGAGCAATGCGTAATTAGCAGCGCTCTGTGCGTGTGATGTGGCTGGCTGTCTGTCTGTGTGTGTATTCGTGCACGTACACGAGAGAGATTCATTAGATAAGGCGAAATTATAATAAACGCGCGGCGACGGCGGCAACGGCTCTGCCCTACTTTCTATATATTTTATTATATGCATATAATTTCTTCATTTATTCGTGCGACTGCAAACATGTAATTTATGCTATTACGTTCGCACGCGATTTGCTTTGTCACAATATCAAGTGGCATTGAGAGCGTCGCAAGTTTCAGCTGTCGAGCGCGGTTTCGTCGAGTTTTGAGGCGAAAATCGAGAGATCCGAGTTGGAATCGGCGCGATACGTATTCCACGAAAAGCCGAGCCTCGCTCGAGGACATAATAATCAAGCTATGCTGCTCGTTATAAAATACTGAATCATTCTAGCGCGCAGAAGCGATGATGATACCGCGAGCATGAGCTGTATAGCTACCGTTACCATCATTCGTGACTTCCTCAATTTTGTATCGGAGAAACGAGAGAAACGATGTATTATACACTTGGATTTGTGAAAGATAAAGAAAAATGAGAAGAATTATTAAAAAGATATAATTTTTGTTACTGGCCTTTTGCAAAAAGTCGCTCGTTCGCTTATGACGTTGCAAGTGTCTAATCAGTCGCAGGAGCAGACGCGGTTAAAGCATAGCCGGTTGTCCACCCGCCGGGCGTTCGGTCTCGCGCGCGTTAAAACATAACTCTTTTGCTCGCTACTGCTACTGCTGCCGCTGCCACTGACGCTCTGTTGCAGCACACAAAGAACCTCTTTCAAGGCCGATTCCACTGCTGCTGCTGTCGAGCGTGCAAGAACAAGCGCACATGTATACACATTTGTGCAGCGCGAGAATAAAAAAAAATACCGCCAAGCGGGAAAGTGAAATGTATACGTCATGCGTATGCGGCCGCTGCTACTGCGAGCCGTGCTCCTTCTTACACTTCTTGCCAGCTATTGCTATTGTATGCGTGTATGCGTGTGCGCCTCTCGAATTTTATATAAAACTTGACCGCGCGCACATTCGCATTTTATTATCTTTATTTTCAAGAATATTATGCGAACGTTGACATTGCGCTATTACGAAAAATAGTATTTCAGAGCAGCATTAAGGCTTTGTACGCGCACTTTTTCATGATGTATTTTAGTGAACTTGCGCTAATGTAATGTTTTTGTTCCAGCGCAAGTGCTTGTAGTGTGAGTTTTTCGTCGTCCATAAATTCACGCTGTACTGTGCGCTGAAAACTCTTCGCTTGGAAAGCAAGAGATACCGAGAACAAATATTTCGATGATTCATTATATTATATATGCACCAATCGAGGCAGCTCTTCTATGTTTGTAGCTGTTCTTTGTTCAACTATTGATTTCTGTAGTTATTAAGTAACCCAAGGGTCGTCGGAAACAATGTTGAATTTCAAATTTCGGACATTGAGATTCCTGGCGCCGAAAGTCTTGAAAAATCGCGGTTTTTTTTCTAGTTGCTGACTATCATGAAATCACGCTCATTGGCTAAGTACGACTTAATTTTGCTTTTCCCTAACAATGGAACGAGCGAGCATAAAGAGTTTTCTCAGTTTCTTTTCGCGCAAGTGCAATGCATACAGCGATTAATGAGAAAAAAAACTAGGCAAAAAGTTATTCAATATCACGCTGTTACGTTTCATTTTTCACGAGCGCCGAAATGACGATTCAATGTACGTATTCTAATCTGATTTGTATGAAAATTTCAAACTATCGAGTGAACATGCATACTTATTTTGATGCGAATACAGAAAAGAAGACGTTATAATGTATTTTTTCTCATATCTTGAGTATACATGAATGCTAACATACTTTAACCGTCGGCCCGGAATTTCGTTCATTTTTTTTCCTATTTCCTATTGTAGAATCTTTGCGCGCTCACGGAAAATTGAATTTCGAACTCCGCGGTAAGAAATAAATTTCCCCTCCTCCGCGCGTGAGTTTTTTCCTTTGTATCGATGTGTGCGTTTGCGGCAAAAAAAAGCTTCGCAGTAAATCCAATTTATAGATGTGTATAAGCGTATGTGCGATCTTTTTTCGCATCACTGAGCAATAATTCATTCCAACTTCTCGTTTTTGGTCGCATTTTTATGGATCTACTTTCGAGCGCCTTATATTGGTAGGTTTTAAATACCTCACAAACGGGCCCTTGGAGAGCATAAATTGAAATTCATTTGTGAAACGAGAGAGTAACCAAAAATCATAATAATATATACTCAGAAGTTCAAAGTTAGCAACTTTTGACGAATTATGCACAATATGCGTATTGAGTTTCCCGCATTGTACGAGCTACCAAGCAAAAAGATAAAATACGTATTAGCGAATGAGGCGCGAATTCGCCAACGCACAAGATCCATGCACAATTTTTACTGCTATCGCGTTCGCTCCGTCGTGTATGGGCGAGTATTTTTATCTCCTCTACGGCCAACCGCTCGAGCTTCCGTCGCATCTTTATATTATTGTAATGTATACCTCGTTTCAGGACTCTGCTTGGTAAAGTTATACTCTTTAAACGACGATTCAGATGCGTCAACGTGTCGCTGTAGTGCGTGATTTTTTTTAAATGAAACAAAGAAAAAAATCTAACGACACAAAGCGACGGCAAGTTTCAGCGTGCGGCGTATGAATTTTTCAGCTTATCGAGCTACCAATCGAAATGAAGGCTTTTCTCGCAAATTATGCATTATCTCTCTCGGTACGTGTGCTTTTAATCTAGATCTCAGTTTGATGAATATTCAATTGCATTTATGGGCAAATGTATGTATGCGGACAAGCTTGACAATCCTCACAAGCGTGAAAAGCAACTTTCTTTTCGTCCATATCGCGTTCGAATCATTTATACGCTACTGTACAATATGCGAAGCTTGTGGACATTTCACGAAGATATACACAGTACTCTTGCATGCATAGTTTGCACAGGCACTTGAGCTTTTAATTATTAAACGCTCGCGTACGTGTGCGCAATACGCCTTCGGCTGGACAATAAAAACATTATAGGAAAATAATAGCAGGTAGAATCAATACAAACTTGGACGCACTCAAAATCATGAGACAATATAGTATATATCGTAAACTAAGTTTGCATCAATATTTTTTTTCCAACAGGATAAATATTCCATGAGACGAGAAGGCGGAGCGAAACTGTCGCGCTTCTACATGAATTAGTAAAGAAGTTATTCGATCTTATGCACACTGACAGCTTTTTTAAGTGACGAATTTTCCCTTCATTATTTAGGAAAGCTCAGCATTGCGAACGACCGATCTCCCGGTATGTATAGGCGCTTTGAATAATGTACCTTATACCATTACAACGCGACGAATGTTTTTCTTCCTCGAAAACACAAGTAAGTTGTTTGGCGGTTTTTCGCGCGAAACTTTTCTCAACTGTTCGAACTAGTCGCAAGTTCCGCTGCATGCGAGCTGGATTTTCTTGAATAAATGAAGCTCAGTCGTCACATTTTTACGACTTGCTGCGAGGAAAAACTTTTGTCTGAATTGACGCGTACGCATCGAGAAGTTTGATAAATAAAAAGAAGCTTCATTATTTTTACAATCGATTTCGGCGCGTGTTTTTCCGGGTCTATAAATCATGCTATAAGCACAACTCGTGTTACGCATTGTCACTGCGAGTAGAGAATATAGAAGCGCAGGGAATTCCCTGAGGTAATCGTTAACGAGTGCGAGGGATCTGACCAAAGCGCACTTGCAGAATTTCGAGCTTGATTATATACCCCACGAAGTTAGCAGGGCTTGAAAATTTTGGAGATCGGTGCCAAAATTCTTGACTTTCTTCGGGCGCGTATACGCACTTGGTTCTGTGCCGGGTAAATATAGAGGAAAAAGGGCGGGTTACTACTAAACTCTATAAATACTCGGACGTGCAAAGAGAAACGATCCCCGATGGAACTACTCCGCGTGGCACGCTTATAAGATGAGTCCAGAAAGTGTGCGATGCACCGCAGCAGAGGACGTAATAATACCCAAGTTTGTTGACCCTTCGGCCAGCGCGAGAACAAGCATTTCGATTTTTTATCGGCTTTTTATTCCAACATCTTTATCAAAGAGAAATAAAAATTACTTTTGATTGAATTAATTTACGTTTATAATTCAATCGCTGGCTCGTGTGGTGAAGAGATGTTTTGCATTATTTACTTGCAGAGTTCATGGAATTCGGCAAACATTTTTGACGTGCTTCTTTGGCTCAGCAGAGAATCCGTATGCATGCATGCACAATGACAGGATTTCTCGCGTGTATAACGAATAAACAATACGTTCTGAAAGATCCGAAAGACAGGGTCATGGCCGGGTATCGTTGTATGAACGCGCTTTTGCACTCATACACCCACGCAACTATTATCTCTCGCTGTTATAAAATATGCGCACTGTGCACTGATAATTAAATTATCATCGTAAAGTATTCGAATCAGTGTCTGCAAATTTTCGTCATGAAAAGTCGCGATCGCGTTCAACAGGTTGAAATCGAGCTATTATTTTTTTCACTGGACATAACTTTTTAGAAAGATACGATTATGCGGAGCACAATGAAACATTGTTCAAAGAATATATTAGGCGACGCGCATACGCACAAGAGCACGTCTGCGTGAGAAAATTTTTCGAATTTTTGTAAAACTTGGTAATTCTTACCGTTATGTAGCCTTTCTCGTGTCGTTTAATTGTCTACATGGAAACGATTCGTTTGAGTCATATCGAGCAAACTTGCGCAATTCGCTCGTATTTGGAATTGAGCCACGCGAACGCGTATAAGCACAATAAATGTAAAGCTGCTGCGAGAGAGAAGTGCACGCGCGTGAATCACCCTGGCCATTGTGGCTTTATACATGCGTAAGGCGATACGCAAGATTTTGTATTTTTGGTACATTGGCAGTTTCGAACGGTTTGTTATTTTTCGCCGTATCGTTTCCCGTGATCATGGCCTGCTCCGAGTCATCGAACACTTGCTTATTATTTTTATCAAAGCCAGCGGTCAATTATTCACTTTTGAGTGTCGAATTCGTTTTGGCGCGCGCAATCCCTATCAGTACAGGCACTTGTACACGAGAACGATTAAATGACAGATCGCGCGATGTGTAGCCATTGTTGAATTTTAGAGCGAAGCAATGGTGTTTTTCCTCTCTCTTCTCTCTTACGCTGAAGTGGAAATAATCAATCGAGCCATCGTAGTCGTATCAGCGTGCGACACCGATCCTGTGCACTTATAGCGCAGCAAATGTCAAAGATATCAGGCGATGGTATCGTGTGGCAGTCGCGATTATCTTCGACAACGAACACATCTCGCGCTCGACAAATAACGAATGCGAATGCTAATCGTCGTCGCGTCATACAATATGCATTATTATAGATCCGATGACTTTCAAAGTCAAGTACAAGACTACGCAGGCATCTCGTATTCAATAGTAGCGTTTTTTTTTCTCACGAACATCGTGTCATCGGAGGTGTGTCGAGTTTATGTAAGCGCGCTACTACGAGCACATGTTCTCGCCGCTGCTTCCGAGGTAAACAAACTCGCGCGCGCGACTGCTTGACATTAACAATTACGTAACTATATATGTATGCATTTAATCGCGCACGAGTTGCAAGTCGCGCGCCCGTGTTTATCGTAAAAACTCGCGCACGAGAGCTTGCAGCGCGATCGTACACGTTTATAAATAAATAGCGGCGCGTGAGCCAACGGTCACTGACACTACTTCGCCGCGCAAGCTCGACAAAACCGGCTAATTTCGTACACTTTGCTCGCTAGAGTATGTGCTTTGAGCAACGCTCCACGAGTGTAGGGACGCGCGAGCTTTTGGCGCGTTATTTATTCGCGCGATGAATTGTTTGTCGCGGCTTCGCGCACACAATGAGACTAGCACTATTTTTGCCAATTTTCGCATTTTATTGTAAAGAATTTTCAGAAATTTTCAAGTTTTTGTCACAGCACGGATGACGGTAGGCTTGTTTATTCTTCTCGGAAGATTGATGACAAACAATGATATTTATCGAATGCAATATTTTAATCTTTCCGAGGAACACTCTTATATTTACCGCAGACTTTTGAAAAACGCGAGCACTTCTCAAAATCACTTTTGACAGAAAGTCAAACTCGAAATGATAAACACATGACTTGGACGAGTAAACAAAAAAAAAAGAAAAAGAGAAAGATGAATGAAAAAATCGGACTTACGGTTTCTGGATGGATGCTGTGCATTTCGGGCGCGCAGTACCTGTTGCAGCGCCGAGTAGAGTTCGAGCATCAGTTGCTCGAGCTGCTGTTGACTTTGGTCATCGGACTCTTCTTCCGACGGTAATGCAAATGGTATGGCCATGTTGGGCCTGTTTCCGATCGAAACTCTCCGAAGAAAAGGTAAAGCGAAATGAGCTTCGCGAACGTGGGCGCACTCGTCGACGTAGTTCGTATCCGAGCGCAAAGCGTTGGGCCGAGCAAGCACTTAGCTCCGCTCGCGCGCACGTGGCTCGTTGGCAGGCGCGTTGTAAACTCGCTCGTACGTGTTACGCCGCGCTCACGTTAAGCTGTCAAGCGACTCGTGTCAAGTCACCTGCGAAATCTCCGGTACGGTGGATCCTCGTACGGATCAGTGTCCATAGGTACTGTTTTTCAGCTCGACCGAATTGGAAGCGAGAGCTCCGAAGCGGGCAGAGCGCAAGGCGCGAGCAGACAACGATCTTCGCAGCTCGTGCAAAGCACACAAGTGTTCTCTTGAAAAAATTCGAAGCACGTAGATATCGAGTCACTGTATAGAGTATGATCTTGGCACTTTAGAGCTTGAGTTTTTCAATGCACTGCAGTCGAATAAATGCACAGTTTTGTTTTAGTCGCGCACCAACAACAATTCAACTGAATGAACAACAACAACAACAACAACAAGTACAACAATTAACAAACGGCCGTGTCAATCAAGAAAAATGACAAAACCGTATGATCACTGCTTTGATGTGTCACTGAGAATAGTCACAAAAATATCGGCTTGTCGTCCAGCACGATTGGCGTGGCTAAGCTACGTTGACTCTTTGGGAGCTGGAAGCGACAAGCGAAAGTATATCTGGCCGTCGTTGTCGTGTGTATGCACGGACGCGACGAGAGAAAGACAGCGCACGGAGCTCCGAGACTCTGTATCGAACGTCCGTTCGGCACGAGATCCTGCTTGGTAATAACTGCACCGTCGAGACGCGACGCACGTTTCGCCGCCGCCGATACTATCCGTGCAGCGTCCCCTTCCTCCTCTCGCACACCCGATTCACTTTACACTGCTGCTGCTGTTGCTGTTGTTGCTGCTGCTGCTGCTGCTGTTGCCGCGGCTGTCGCTGCCTTTGCTCGGTATACCATGGATCGGCGGCGTGGCGGGGATGCAAGACTGCGCGCGCATCGACGGTCAAGGGGGAAAGGCGCTCCGAGAACGCCGAGGGTTCAGCGGAGCGCTCCCGTCCAGACGCGCTGCGGCCGCCGAGCGCGTCTCCGAGCCCTTTTTAGCCCTTCGCTTACAACTTGTAACTGCTGCGCGTCTGTGCTTGTACCAGTGTTGCTCGTCCTCGACGATTCCGTTCTTTTTTTTTTCTTTTAAATCAACGCAACATTCTGAAAAATCTGGTGTTCTTGTGGTGCCTGCACAACGAAGACATGTATTTGGTCCGAGAGTGGGGTATTATCGATTTCCGTGGCTTCTTTGTTCTCTTGCGTAGTCGTCGATTCCGACTCTCGGCGACTCTTGCGATCTGACTCGATGTGTGATAAAGAGGATAAACGTGAGGTGAGTCTTTGCTTGCTTCGTTTCAAGGTCTGTAAAAAGTCGTCCATTACGACTCGTTTTGATTGTCTTACTTTGAAGTTTGCTCCGATTAACAACTTTTCTTATAATCATTCGAAATTTTAAACTCATCTGCAAAATCAAATTGTATCGAGAAAATTATCAAACGCGCAAGAACAAGAATAATGATTCGATTTTATATTTGGCCGATGTTATTCTGTTCACGGGCGAGTTCGGCGTACAACGCGCTCGTCGAGTGTAGCGACGGCTAACGCATATCTGCATCAGAGCGTGGAGCTGATCATTTTTTATCTCGAAACACATTCTAAAGAATCAAATATCTTTCGCGCTAACTTTACGAGGAATTATTTTGACTGTAAAAATTTATTATTTTTGTTTTGAAATATTTTATCTTATTCGCGAGTTGAAAGTATGATTTTATTTGTCTCTGCTCCGAAATAAATATTCGTTTGTTGAGATACAACATCGCCTGCGCTTGCAATTTATAGTTTGTCGTGATTCATGAAAAGATTTTTTTTAATAGTAACTACGAAAGACAATCACTTTTTTTTCCAAATGCAATGTCAGACCTTGAAACTGCTAAAGCAAAAGCGTCACGAATTACACATCACTCTGTGTCAGAAGAAAGATTCAAGCAAAGTTCAAAGTGCCTAAAACCCTAAGCATGAAAAATTGATACTATACAGTACTGTCTGTGTAACGATATTTTCTCTCTTTTTCTATCTGTACGTACTACGGCAGAAGTCGAGCATCGACACCGCAGCTTAACCGCACAGTCGTGTCGTTGAACTTAAACGTGACTACACAACGCGTACACGCAGCAGCAGCAGCAGTTACAAGTTTAAATAAACTCCTCTGGTCAAAAGGGTGCAAAAATCTTTCCAGATCATATGTATGCTACATGTTTATGCATGATTGTATAGCTCTAGTATCCACTGCCTGTTCATAGGGAAATGTTTTAGAAAATCTACTTGTTTTTCATAGGATAAAAGGGACAAGCAGATCCAATATCGATCATTCCTTGATTTTAATAATTAAGTTAAAAAGTGATAATTAAAAAATATAAGACATGAGTTGAGCGACGGTTCGTAGGCATGTCAACATTATACACGACAATATTGTTGCGCATCTCGGTGGAAAGCAAACCGAGTAGTAAGCGCGTATGCACACACACATCTCGTGTATATATTATTATTATGCTCTCGTACACACATCACACGAGCGTCTATAGATCTGCAGGTTTGCACGAACGAGGGGGTCAGAGACACAAGTGTATACATATATGTATTGGCGCACACACGCGTACCTTATGTATGTGTATTTGCGTTCGAACGAGCCGTTCATACGCATATTTATACAAGCTAAACTATAGACGCTCAGATCGTATCTATACTCTGGCGCGATACGTGATGTCAGTTGAGCTCTACTGCTATAATGCACTTTTCTATATATTCATACGTGCACTTGCATGTACGAATCTATGTAATGCATATGTGCAAGAGGGGCATGTATATCGTATACTACATCGTTAAACAACGTAATGCCGAGTCCTCGGTCACTCGTTGAAATTTCTTGTCTTTCTTTGCACAGCAACGGCAACGGCAGCAGCAGCAGCAGCAACGGTGGCGGCGGCGGCAGGTCACAAGGCCCCTACGGCTACCGATGTTTGCATTGAATGCGGCTACTGTTGTTGCAGCGACGGATCGTTTGACCTAGCTCTCGCTCAACAGTATTATGCTAACGCATGTAACGGCTACGACGCGTGCGGCACAAGCATCTATCTTGCTTCGTTTTTTTTTCTCGAGCGAGCGAGCGTCGATTTATTATGCAAAATACGCCCGAGCTATTTCCATGCCTGATTATGTTTAATTGATTTTTATGGGCCTCGCAATAAGTCGATGTATTACACATTTATGCACGCCACCAGTTCATCGTACATTTCTTCCAGGAGATTATGTCAAGTAAAACAAAAATTGATGCTGCATATGTCTAGCAATAAAAGAGACGAATCCGAAAGCAAAGTAAGGAGCATCAAGAAGAATTATTATTGCTAAAAAATGCAGCCAAGTACGTGGTAAAACTCTTTCGAAATGCTCGGATCTATCGCGGAGAGAACACCTCATCGTCTACTCATTAAGCAGTAAATGAAAATGAATGTCAAGTCCGCCAGCCGCTGAGAGATGCATGCACACAGCTCGCAGTCGAAAGCTACTTACGAGCGATAAAGTTGGCTAAAGTAAAACGAAAATCTTATAATCCTGACGTACGGCTTGCTTCTGTGCATTTACAAAAGGAACAAAAAATTTACTGATGTAACAGGTACTTTGAAAATGATCTAATGTATCAAAAGTTCAAGATCAAGTATGAAATGTCGATCGGAAGTATGCACTTTCTTTAACGCGATGAGAAGGATGAGTTCGTTCAACCCATGATAGTGCATACACTTTCTATTTTATATAGAAAATAAAATATGATCACAAATCTAGAGTGTACTAGTTGCGATATAGGTATATACGGTCTTTTGACTATCGGACACGGAGCGAATATAGCTGTTATATTATTTATGCGCAATTAAATTGCGTACGTGTAGGTGCATACATGATCGAAGCTCGTACAATGCGTATCATATGGGGTGCTTCCGAGTCATTCTAAAGCTTACATAAATGTATGAGACAAGTGATTTTGGACTTTTTGTCGCCGTATTATTTCTTTATCTAAGTCGCCTTCGCCAATCATTGAATCATGTCGATACACGTGTTGCAGCTCTTTTTACTCCCAACACATCGATACTTTACTGTGAATGTATCGTTGACGATAGATATGACTTGTATGCACTACATGCAATAACGTCGCAGTAACATGCTTGACAAATTGTAATTTTTCTTTACGTACATCGAATTTGCTGTAGCATGCAGTTGAATTGTTCTCCCAAGTGCACAAAGAAAACGCATTTGAAGCGATAAAAGTCGAATCGTACGTGGATGTAAAGTACATACAAGTGGTAGCATCGAACACGAGAATTATGAAATAGAAAATAAGGCAGATATAATCTGTACGTACTAAGTGAATAATCGTATGTGTGCACGCGCCTTCGATTCATTTTTCATTCGTTGTTCGCGAGCCGTTTCAAGTGTGTGCATTATGAAAATCACTACACATCTTGGAGCCTATTCATTGATTTCCATTATAGCTTTCGCGTTGACTCATTGTTTGAAACGAAGTGCGCTTTTGATCACTACTCGCGAAATGTATATTCGTTTGAATCTTCCAAAAGTTCGGAAAATTTCGAGCTTTCGGAAAGTGTGACGCAGTTTTCGCGATGGGCGCATTGAAAATAAAGCAACGGACAGCGGCAGCGAGATTATACGCAGAGCATTACGAAACAAAGACGCAGACACGGTAAAGCAGTACAACAAGAAATTAGCCTCGCAACTGGCTACATATATACACAGACTTTTGGGCAATTACGCGTAAATTAATATTCGCCTTCCAAGTGCACATTGGCCGTCGAGCTGCTCGCACTTTTTATCAACGAGGCCTAATACGAGTATACGAGCATTATCCCCTCCGCTACTGCAGTCGACGATCGTCTCCCGCTCATCGTGCGGCCGCTCGAGTGACGGGAGCGTCGCGCGCCTACGTAGTACGTATACGTCCAGCCCGGACTGTTATATGCGTAAACATATTCGATCGTTATTATGATGATTTATCGCGTACCGTTATTATCCGTTGTCGCTGTTGATTTTTCTCCGTACGCACACGCGCCTGCATACGCTAAATGAATATTTAATAATGCAGTCCAAGTGGAGAAATTAATTAAAAATTTAACCATCGAGAAGTGTATGTACGTGTACGAAATATTCGCCAAATCCCAGCTACGTGGAAAATTGCATTTTTGTAAATGGTTGATGAGTCCGTAATCGGATATTACTGCAGATGATTATTTCAATCGCGCAGAGAGAGAGACCAAAACGCTCTATTGTATGTACTCTCTTGAATTAAGAATAATTTTGTACGTAATTTAAAAATTTGCTGCGGAAATTCGGTGAAATGTAATATTTTACTTTCGAACGACTGATCTACGAGCGTACGAATGGAAATTTTGTAAAAGTAATGAAGATTTTCTTGTTAGCCGATGTATTACTCGTAATCAAGTGGGTAAATGAATTCCAGCGTTGAAAAAATATTTCGCTAGGTCTTCAAAACATAAATATTCAAATTATAAGCACACGCGTGCAAGCGGGAGGCGCAACTACGGCAAACAATGCACAAACCCAGTGTGCCTTTAAATAATGAATTTTGATGCTTTCATCCGCTTAATTAAAAGATTTTTATTTTTCCGCGCTGGTTTTAACGGTGTACAGGT